GTTGCTAGGCCATTGCTATGTTATCCTAGGGGATTGCTAAGGTTGTTGCTAGGCCATTGCTATGTTATCCCAGGTGGTTGCTAAGGTGTTACTAGGCCATTGCTATGTTATCCCATATGGTTGCTAAGGTTGTTGCTAGGCCATTGCTATGTCAGCCCACATGGTTGCTAAGGTTTTTGCTAGGCCATTGCTCTGGAATCCCAGGTGGTTGCTAAGGTGTTGCTAGGCCATTGCTATGTTATCCCATATGGTTGCTAAGGTTGTTGCTAGGCCATTGCTATGTCAGCCCACATGGTTGCTAAGGTTGTTGCTAGGCCATTGCTCTGGAATCCCAGGTGGTTGCTCAGGTTGTTGCTAGGCCATTGCTATATCAGCCCACATGGTTGCTAAGGTTGTTGCTAGGCCATTGCTATGTTATCCCACATGGTTGCTAAGGTTGTTGCTAGGCCATTTCTATGTCAGCCCACATGGTTGCTAAAGTTGTTGCTAGGCCATTGCTATGAAATTCCAGGTGGTTGCTAAGGTGTTGCTAGGCCAATGCTATGTTATTCCAGGTTGTTGCTAAGGTGTTGTTATGCCATTGCTATGTTATCCCAGGTGATTGCTAAGGTGTTGATAGGCCATTGCTATGTTATTCCAGGTGATTGCTAAGGTGTTGCTAGGCCATTGCTATGTTATCCCAGGTGGTTGCTCAGGTTTTTGCTAGGCCATTGCTATATCAGCCCACATGGTTGCTAAGGTTGTTGCTAGGCCATTGCTATGGAATACCAGGCAGGTGTTAAGGTGTTGCTAGGCCATTGCTATATTATCTCAGCTGGTCGCTAAGATGTTACTAGGCCACTGCTGTAGACACACTGTTATCATATAGGCAGTATGACCTGCTAAATTCTGTTGTTCTAGCTGTAAAACCGCAACCTGAAAATGGTACAAAAAAACAGCAGAAGTAACACACGTTCCAGCTGGTGCCATAACACCTTCAGAGGGAAGTAGTAAGTTATGTTTGTCCATTTGAGGTCGAGCTGTAAGGGAAACCACCAAGTATTGACTGCTAGGATAGAAGATAATTAACCAGTTTGGAAACTTTATATTGGTACTGTAACAGTTGAACACAATGAACAATAAAGAAATGTTAATTATGATTGGTTATATGGCAATGAATTGTCAGCTACAATTTTATGATCATGACAGGCCTAGTTTGGTCCTAGCCTTTCCCCCTGAAATGATACATGAACATGTTATTACTGCAGACAATCCGTAGCAGAGTTACCGGAGAGGAAGGTCTGGGTGGAAAACAAATAAGTTTTCTTTCTGAAGGATCCTTAAAAGCACAGTAACACAAACGCCCTGTTTAATTGTAAAGGATAAAGATAAGGTATAAGATGTTCATATAAACGAATTGTGAGTTTTAACATTACATTAAAATCTAATGTGAGTAAATTGTCAAATAAGGGCCCTTTAAGCCTGTAGCCAGCTGCCTGCGGTGAGGGAGGTAGGCCTGGTCAGAGTGAGCTGTGTCAGGAGCCGTAATGAAGCTTTAATCCCGCTCTGTGGGAGTATTACAGCGGCTGAGCCCAGCCCCTCACCATCATCAGTAGTTCAGCAGTTCAGCCTCATCAGCGCCGGCCCTGCATCCTTGGTCTCTACCACTGATCTGATTCCATCTGCGTTTGTTTCCTGGTCATCACATAATTACTGGTCTCTTCCTCCATTCAGTCCATGAGCTGCTATAGGACCGTTCATGTAATGTATAGGGCCTTATTTTCAGGCATGCATAAGTGCAGTTTAGTGGAAAAACATCGCAGTGTTGCTAATTTGGTTGAGCACATTTATTCCCTTTAGCACTCATTTTCTGTTTTGAAGGTCAGACATGATATGGCCTGCCCTACAAATGTTCCAGTTGTATTATTAGTGCTGTATTATTAACGTTATTAAAAATTGTAAAATTATTATAAAAGCAGTAAGCCCTTCATGGCCATGTGCTACAGTCATGTGTCTGTGAGTGATGCCCAACAACACCCCTTCACTATAACACAGCAAATCCAGAGTGGATTTTTGCTTTAAAATACCAGACTTGGCGAAATTATTGGCATTATAGAGATGGGGAATGAGCCAATACGTTATGGAATACATCTGTTTTCTATGAATGTCGTTAGAAAAATGCAGTTGATGAAGTAATCAAAGGTGTACGTACGTAAAGTGTATTTTTCCTGGACCGTCACAAAGCCGCTTATTGTAGTGCAGACTTTCGCTGACAAAAACATTGTGAGCAGGCCTTGAGTTAGTGCTGTAAAAGTTGTGCTGCTCTATTATTCTAAAAACTCACAACAAATCCCAGTAAATGACTAAAGGGGTTCTGTGAGAGATGAAAGATTTAAAGATGCTTGTGCCTAAGGACGAGTTTAACATTGTAAAGCTTTTGAAAGCCAATTTATAAGCAGCTAAACTACCTTCGGTGACATTATTAATGATCAGTGTTGATTTCAGAAGCTCTTTTTAATGAACTCCTGTAACTGTCATGAATTGAAATGTCAGACTCCAGTTTCTTAAGCAGGTCGAAAGTGGAGGTCTTTTCCGGAAGCCTGTGCCTTGAAGTTTCTCTCAGCAGATGTGATTTGGACTCCTCAAATAGATCAGCTCTCTAAACAGGGCCAGTCCACTCGGCCTGACATGAATAACAGGCAAAGAGGCCACGCTGCTGGACTGAAACGCTAGACGGGACTAAAATTAGAGGCTCGTTTTTGGTTGAGCTGTTGAAGCCCTCACTGCTCTCCAAGACTGCATGTCCATATCACTCTGACCTGCTCACTATCTGCCTTGCTCATTTTCAATGAATGCTCATTAACTACTTCCTTAGAAGTAATGATTTGAGAACTGTATTGACTCTATGAAGCATATACATGAAGTGTGCATGTGGAACTGGTGACCAGCACTGGTGCCTAAAGCAGAGCCAAGGGGATCGGGTGCACCTGTGACAACAAGGTCAGACCCCCCTTTGGCCCCTGAAAATGAGAAATCCAAAATAGCCTATTCGCTTCTGAAGCTAAACACAACAAATTGAATTGTACATTATTTCAACGTGAATGAAAAATATTACAGCAACCACAATTATCGCCCACCGAAAGACAAAATTGTGTTCATGTAATATATAAAGGTGCTATATCCATATCAATGTGGATCGATATCAATACCGATCGATATGCATGTGGTTTTAAAGATGCTGTATCCGTATCGATGGGTATCGGTATTGGCCGAGCTGAAAATATCGGATATCAGAGGGATAAAAGAATTAATCTGGTCCAGTCCTGTAACAAATCTGTTCTGAAATAGCACACACTCACATGAAGGTTTTCATCCACCTCTTTTATGTGAATTTTGAAAATATGTATAAAAAACATTGGTTGAATAGCCAGAAATTCAAATAAAATGTCTAAATACTGCAAAAAAAAAGCTTTGTGTTTCGGATGTGGTGACAAAGTTGGTTTATCAGTGAAGGAGAAATTCAAGAAAATGGTGAAAGGAACAGATTTTTCAATTAAGTGATGATATACTGGGAACGAAAGACGTGTTTCTTTTCCTTCTGATGATCAACATCATTGGTCGTGTCTCAAACTGCATATAAAATATGGAAAAAATCAGTACAACACCAGTGGGGCCGTTACTATTTTGAACATACTATTTAGAATGGTATCAGGGCTAAAAACATGAAGATGTAATTGTTAGCTTGATGCTAATATTATAAAGTAATTCCCATTGACAGGCTAATGAAAATTAGCATTATGCTCACGAATTTGAGTGAAAAAAAATGCCATTAATAAAAGCAAATTAAAAAGAGTTTCTGGATTTAACATTGCTGTATTTAGGGTGGGCGTGAGCAGCTGGTACATTCATGATTTTATGAATATGTTTTGCAGTCGTCCCTGAAGCATCCCAGAACAGTTTAAACGTTGTCCTGTTCTGTGTGTGTTAGTTTTGAACACTGGGTAGTTTGTGAATTGAAACACTACATTTACAACTGAGATTCCCAGGGCTTCGGTGGGTGACGCTGAAGTGGGACAGCAACTTAAGCCTTCATTAAACGGGGCGCTACCTCCTCTGGCTGGCGTCTCTGAACTGCTAGACTGCCTTTACACAGTGAAACTTGCAAATACTGTAGTTGCATGTTATGGATTGCAACGTAATTTCTGTGCAACTTAACAGTTACACAAAGCAAGTAAAAACAGTTGAAGTTGCACGCAACACATTCAGCCTACTTCATAGCCTACTTGAGGCCTCGCTTATCTTGACCTAGAGCCACAACAGGTTCAACACAGACAGCTCAGTCTCCACTCCTATTGTGATTTTCTTTCTTCGGATCAAAAAATAATCTGTAAATTCTATGTAAAATTCTGGGTAAAATTAGGGAGCGTCAAGAGCATCAAGTCTCACCATCATCTATTTTCCATCGAATCTGTGTAATCACTCATTTTGAAGCATGTCGATTGACATGATCATGTGATGCATTTTTGACATTTTGATTGGTTTCGTGAAGTTGAGCCGCCTGCAACTGCTGCTACTGGGTTGCAGGATGCTTAACATGGTGTAACTCAAGTGCTGTGCAGTTTCATGTAACTTTCAAGCAACATTTGCATGAAACTTTCACTATGTAAAGCCATCCTTAGGGCTACGACCCAGTACAGCTGACAGAAGGCTGTGAAAACGGCTCTGCAGAGAGCGAGGTTTCAGTGTCAGAGTTGGTAGCAGTAAAGAAGAAGCGATATTGTGCCATCTCCAGTAATATATTATTAAGAAATTATGTATGTTTGCATCAAGTCAAGAAAGTTCATCACTTTATCCATACAGAGTAGCTCCACCCAGCTGAGATGGTCCAGAACTGTGACCGATCCCTCATCCCCTCCTCACTGTGTGATTGCGTGTGTTTTTATTTCCGCCTCTCGTCCCTTCTTCCATCTTTCATTCTTTCCTCTCACCCCAGTCTAACCCTGTATCTCTCTATCTTTAAGGACGGCCCATGCCCGAGCGAAGGCTGAAGCAGCTGACCAGGCTGCACTGTCCGCCTGCCAAAATTCGGATGTTGCCCGAGCAGTGGCCAGAGAGCTGTCCCCCAACTTCCATCAGCCAGGTAAACACCTCAAACATGCAAACACTGGTGGAAAAATGCAGTGATGCATCGCGATCGGTCTGCAGGTGTTGATTCAACTGTATTGATTTTGGAATTATAGTTAAAATAATATTCAATGAAGTATATAAATAAAATTGGTAGCCTATTTCTAAAACATAAAGAAAGAAGCTTAGTGTGTTGTTCTTGTTGTCTATGTTCACACCAGAATAATCGAATTGAATTGAAATGTAAGATTTCATGATTCATGATTTCGGAGATTTACACCCCTTTTGCACAGTAGTGCTCAAAAACTTACAACCTGTTCACCAAATGGTTTATTTACATGTTTTATTCAATATTTTAAGACTTAAATAAACAAGAAGTGAATAAATGATAAATAATATTTTGTAATTGTCTATTTACATCATTTTTTCTGCCTTGATATTTGACCTCCACTTCTAAACTATAATAAATTCTATATTATTATGACTTAATTCTCAACAGCTTTCTCAGTCACTCACTTTCCTGATTAATTTTTTTTTTGGACTAACATTTGGTTAATATTTGTTGGACCGTCTATCCATCCAGTGAGGAAAAGAGCAGCTCTGTGTTTGAACACCTCTGTAATTGTAGCCTCGCTCTCATAATGCTGTTATCTCTAGTTTTGAGGGGAAACTGTAGTTTTCCACTCTGTTAATTTGCTGCTTGTTAGGTTATCCATAGTGATCCTGTGACCACTGTCCAATGTAGTCTTATTAAGGTGTCATTTGGTGCTAATGTTACTGATATTGTTATTGATATTACCAATATTGTCAGCATCAGCAGGAAGTTGTGGTTGTTTAAGATGTTTAGGCTGGAGCTGCTTGAAATTAAGATTATCTTCTAATTCAAATTTGCAGTTCCACCTTAAATGGTACAGGTGGCAGAATGCAACTGCTGCACCATTTAAGGTGGAACGGCAAATTCAAATAGGAAGCTTACGTGCTTCATGGAACTATGGATGATTGAGGGGGTCACAATAGTAAGAGGAGTTAACTGCATTAAAAAAATAGTGGTGCTAATTTGGTTACAAATCCCTTTGATTTGGTGTTTTTTTTTTTCAGTCACATCTTGCATTGCATTGGGGAAAAAAATAGGTTTTTGACCAATTATACTCACTGAATTTAGTCATTTAATGAGCATATGCGTATTAAATATTTTCCTAATTCTGAAACACTGGATGCTTTGGAAGTCTTTCAGCCATTTACTTTATCGGGGAGGTAGAACTTCGTCTCCATCCTCTCTAAACTGGAAGAGCAGTAGCAGGAGGAGAAACAAAATAAGGTCTATCAGAGAGAGTTTGCAATTAAACTCTCATTAAAGGGGCAATTATACTGGCAGCTATGTGTATACAGCACTTCATATTCACATACAGCTACATAATATCATCAGAGCATTACTGTATATGCGAATGGAGCGTGATCATATAACCACGTGTGACGTAAACATCCGTGTTCATAGGAATTACAGACCAAAACTTGTGCCTCCTTTTTGTCGTCTGTATATATTTTATCACAGAGGAATACTTAACATCCCCTGATAAATCAGTCAAATCTAAGTAGCTTAAGACATGCAGATGGGTTGTTTTGAGAGGTTATAGTCCCTCCTTCTCTCTGCCTACACCCAATCAGAGCAGGCCATTTTACACCACATAATTAGCATAAGTTTTCTTCTGCGTCACGTATATTATCATCATCGTCATATTTTTGCAGTCATTTTTTTACAAATCATTCAGCTCTACATGCACACACGACGCATCACCACCCCCGCCTCATCACACGTATAACGTCTTTGTGTCCTCGTCTTTGTGTCTGGCTCGAGTGCGTCTTTATTGGGCGAAGAGAAAGTTGAGCAGATGCGAATGCAAATGCATTCTGAAGGGGAGGCATATCATTTGCATGAATTATCTGCTGTTCTGTTCGCTGCAGCCAGTCGGCTCACTCTGCTTTTAAGCGTGGGGAGATTATTTTAAGAAAACGCGAGGGTCGGGTTTTTTTCCTCACTGACAGGAAATGCTTCTGTTCAGTGGATCCCAAAAATGCTGGGCTGTGTATTTTAGGCTGGTGCTCGATTATGCAATAGTGAGCTTTCCACTCGCAACCTTTAGAAGACACTCAAAAGAAACTGGTTATGAACAATAGCCTTCAGAAGATGTTTGCTCTCGTTACTTGAGCTTTTTTTGTAAAAATTTAGCACGTAACAGTGTAAAGACATCACACACCTTAAGACAGCATTACGTTTGAGTGAGCGCTCTGTACGGTTTCACTGCCTGCCTTTTGTCTTTATCCTCAGTATAGACCTATGAAGTCCTGTGTCGTTCTGTAATCGGCGTCATTCCCATGTTAGCAACTCCGGGTAGGCCTGAGTGACAGGACAGTGTAATCGGATATCGTCAGTGATTGACAAGTAACCCTATGGCAATGTTTAGAAGGCAATGATCGCTATATTGGGAAACTGTCAGAGAACCAGAGAGGTGAACTAGAGGGAACTAATATACCGTTAAACAGTTTGCTACATATTTTGGGACTTTGGGGTTGTTCAATAGAGTGAGGGGGTCATTAAGAAGCTGCTTTTTAGTTCTCTCTGCTACTCAGTATAATGCTAGCTTTACCTACTTCAAGGCTCTTCTACTTCTACTTACTGTATTTTACGTTAGGTTTAGCTTGAGCACGTGCAACTTAAAACAAATGCTGACGTGTTTTGGAACTTTAAACCGCTTCAGTGTGACTTACTGCAGTAAAACAACCAAACTAGCTGTCATTACCCTAGAGCAGCTAACTCCAGCCCTGGAACTTCTAGCAGTACGGAAAGTTCAGCAGTACAGCCAGGAAACAGGATCAGAAAAGGGTAAAAAAAAATAAGCTTAAATAATATGTACACATAATATTTGTGTGTAATAGCTAGATTCCAGAGTGACTTTTCTGTATTAACAGAAAATACCTTGTGACATACCCAGCGACTTTGGAAACTTGGCACTAGCAGTCTAAAGTTTATCCAGCAGGAAGCGCTACTAGCAGGCAAGTTGCCATGAATCTACACCAGAAGGAGCTCACGAGGGCACATTTGCAGCAACATGTATTAAAAGGCCAGGTGAATTATTTTTCAAAGGGTGTTGGGTTACTCAGTATTATAACGTGTTTTGACCAAAGATTTTCATCAAAACAGTAAATGTTCAAACAAGCATATAAACTTAAAAAACAATACAATGTAGATTGAAGCTGCAGCAGACCTTGTGTGTGGGTTAGGGGGATATAATCGCTAATCACGATTTTTAACCGTAAAGTATCATGCTGACAATTTTTAGATCACTCAAGCCTAAGCCAGCCTAATCAACTCCAGGTCTAAGCTAGAGTGATTTGTGAAAAGTGCTGCTATTGCACTCCGTGGTACACAAAAATGTTCCAAACCTAGAGCTGGGCGATATGGCCAAAAACGTTATCACGATAAACAAAATTCATTGATTATTGATACATATCGCGATAAATGTCAAATCATGATTTCTTTCACGTTTGAAGGCTGATTTTGCTCCTGGGTGGTTAACTGTGGTTTTAAACTATCACTCATGGTCCGATCATAACAAACACTCGGCAAACAGTGGAACATTTCACTAATCTGTCTCGGGACAGTGGGAGAAAGTTTCTGAGCTGTTTTTATCAGCTGGAAAAGCACAGCTGCAATTTTTGTAATAGTCATGATTTAAGAAAGAAAACAGATTATTTTATCTGTCTGGTGACGAGCGCTCGGCTACCCCGCTACAAACGCTAAACAAGTGGCCAACAACAGAGCTAAACTCTTTAGTTTCTCAACAACGTCAACTCGGTTCGGTAGGTCACTGCGGTCACTCCTACCACATCCATGTCAGAGCAGATCACAGTATTCAGACACCAGCTAGACGGCTGGGTTTCTCTATGCTATCGTAGTAGTTTAAGGGGTGAACCGCAGTGTATCTGACGCTCGCTGTGTAAAAGCATTATCTGCAGTGTGAATCTCTCACACCAGTCACAGAGTCCTCCTTTTAGGTGTGTTTAAACTGAAAGCGGTGATTTTGTGTCTTGTTTGATCTACAGTATCATCAATTCACCGTGTTTTGCCGGAGCGCCGCTTTAATTAGCCAGCAGCTAAAAACAGCTAGCCTGGAGAGACAGCGCTCTCCCGCTCTCCAGTGCCTCACAGCTTCCTCAGTTTACGTTCGAACATGAACCCACTTCTTTCTTTCACTTTCGTTGCTCGAGAATGCACCAATACTGAAATATGACGGTTTGGCGCTGTAACACGGCGCTGCAGACGTGATTTAACACCGCTGAAGTTGTTAGGATGCATGGAAAGAGGTGAGTTCACCGCAGGACAGTACAGATACGCCACTGACCTCGTCACTCAGTCACGGGAGAACAGATCGCCGGTCGCTCCACTCAAACAGGGAATGTATAACTCCGCATTTCAGCCGTTGCTAAAGTATATTTGGCGACCCTTTTTTTACTCGTGGCCCCCTCCCTCTCTAATCAAGTCGAAAAATTCGGAAGTGCGCCCTCTCCTGGCGACAGCAGAGTAGTGTCGCTTTCCTTGCAGTAGAAAACGCCACCGGGGCTTTCGCTAAAACGTGGAAGTGTGAGAATGGTGTATTATATCGAACATTTATCGAACATGTCTTATCGCTCTATCGAGGAAAAGTTATATCGCGATACTTATCGTTATCGTTTTATCGCCCAGCCCTATACAAACCCAATACGTTTTGTCTTGCGTACCTTTTTCACCGAGTGTCACTGGATCCTCCGAGTTCTTCTTTAAGGAGTCAAAATATAAATGCGACATCCGTGCTAATAGCAAGCTACCAGTCCTGCATTCTGAAAAGACTTTGCGTGACAGTAAGTCTTACATGAAACGAAAGCACTATTATATAATAACACCAGCTAATAATAATTTACTCTACTACTGCCGAAGCAACTGTACTACCACACCTGACAAAGATTGTTGGCTTGTTTGGG